GGAGGCTGCAATGCTTGGTAAGAAATGTACGCATTATCCTGCCCATGCAATTGTAACCCCTCTGTACAGTATGTTCACAAATAAAATAAAATAAAATTTAAAAAAAACTTGGCAGCCTTTTTAATAACACCAAATAAAGTGATAACAGCACACACAAAAAAAAGTAGTAGAGCTCTGCCTTAAGCAAAAGATCTCTGGTACAATGCCCAGGCCCTGAGTTCAAGCATCATGGTAGAAAGAAAAAAATAAACAAAAAGAAATCAAGTCATTTATGATTTGAAAATTAAATTTTAATTTAAAATACATTCACAAATACATTATATTTGGGGGGGGCGGGTGTGGGGCTTGAACTCTGGGCCTGGATGTTGGCCTTCAGCTCTTCAGCTCAAGGTTAATGTTCTACCACTTGGGCCACAGCATCACTTTCCATTTCCTGGTGTGTTTTTTTGACTTTCCTGCCTGGGCTGGCTTTGAATCCCCATCTCAGATATCAGCCTCCTGAGTTGCTAAGGTTACAGTATGTGCCACCAGTGCCCAGCTATATTCATAAATATTAAGAGGGCTGAGAATGTGGCTTAGTGGTAGAGTGCTTGCCTAGCATGCATGAAGCCCTGGCTTCAATTCCTTAATACCACATAAATAGAAAAGGCCAGAAATGATGCTGTGGCTCAAGCTGTAGAGTGCTAAGCTTGAGCAAAAGAAGCTCAGGGACAGTGTCCAAACCCTGAGTTCAAGCCCCAGGACAGGCTAAATAAATATATACAAATATATGTAGAGAGAGAGAGTGTGTGTGTGTGTGTGTATTCACAGAGAGAGAGAAAGACAGAGAACTGAAATCTGTGATGTGGCCACATATTATAAAGAAAAAAATAGCAGCTACTCTATTATGATTGAAATTACAGATTTCTTCAACTGCACTGGACATTGACCAAAATGAACTAAGCAACTCAATGGCAGTGATGGGAGGGAAGGAACAAGTGGGAAAGAGGGAACAGCTGACACTATGTAAAACAAAAGAAATGTACATATCATCCAATGTGGAAGAAATAACTGTATTGCAAAGCTCATAGAACTCATAAATGTTATAGACCATGATAGACAATTTGTTATAAGAAAGTTAGAATGTGTTTGTGACTTTAACTAAGCTTCACTATCCCACAATACTGTAAAATTTGGGACATTATGTAACCACTTAATCACAATAAAAAATCTGGAAAAAAAAGCTATGTATATATGACCATATAAGATGATGTTAAGAGAAATGAACCCCAAGATAGGGACACAAGTGTTTTTTCTTTCTTGCTATTGTTTTTAATGTATTTAAATTTTACTGTGATTTTTTTGTTTCTCTTTTATGTTCTTCCCCCACGATATAACCCGTTTTCATTGTATTTGACATAGGTGCCCTGCATCTTGTATATACATTTTTCTAATTTGGGGAGGGAAAGGGAAATAACAAAATGCTGAACTAAGGATACAGGTTGACCCATTGTAACAATAAGATGTACAGGACATTATGTTAAGTATAAGTTGTCATGTCCAAAACGAGCTTTACAACGTCGGTCGGGGGGGGGGGGGGGGGGGGGGGGGGGGTTGGGGGGGGGGGGGGGAGGCTGGGAAGGGAAGTGAAGGGTAAACCAAAGGAGGAGGCTGCAATGCTTGGTAAGAAATGTACGCATTATCCTGCCCATG